CCTCATTATTGTCCAATACAGACGTAAACTTCGTAGAAAATCCTATCTCTTCTTTTTCGCTCTCGTACGCATTTTCGTATTATTCGTTTTCCTTCATCCTCGTTTAAACGTACCGCGCGACGTTAATCTCGTTACAAGGAGAATTATTCGCGCGTATGTTTGGTCGAATACGGAATTCATTAATGACTACGGCCCTCGCAATTTCCTTCGTATGACTCGCAGCGTTCTTGCAGGTTCTAAGATGTCTTAGCCGGAACTCTGTGTCCTTGGTTTTCGCGGGATCGACATGCTCTCAGAACTTCGATTGGACATCCTTAAATTACTCAGTGAAGAAACAACAAATCATTTTTCTGACGATATTATTTCTACTTTAACGATTAATTGTGGATTATTCTTCATTTGGAATTGCTTAAAGGTGAATCAAATGTATGATCTTAATTAATAATGTTTTCAAGTCATTCTGCGTTCTATTCGTTTTGATTTCATTGGTCCAAATCCTAAGATGAATTGCGTTTTGTATATTTAACGTATATTATTTTAAATATATTCAAGGTCAACAATTGATCAATATCCTCTATCGATTAATTTCCACGGTGAATGAAATTTGATACTACTTCAGATTGGACAGTGATCAAGATTTCATAATAACTGTAATGAATTGAAGTCCGTGCTAATTGTAAATTAAATTTTAATTCTGATACAGGATACTCGGATCTTCCATCCTTATCATTTATATGAATGCCACTAAAAAATTCTTGTGTTATGTAACTGTAGATATATACTTTTATCATTGAAATCTTTTGTTTGAATGGTATAGCGGGTGCGACACTGCGCACTGAATCGGTCAGAAACTATTTTATCTTCTGCATCTCATGTTTAGTATTTCATCATTAAAGATGGTGCCACCAGATAGTTTTCTGAGTCGGTAAAGTAGATCGAATTTAATACAGTAGACATTCGTTTAACGTAGGCCAGTTTATTGTACCTTAGGAACGCCTCTCGCTCAAACGTAAGCGCACCCCACTCTGTCGCCCAGCAAGAAAGGAACAGAATAATATTGTTTTAGTAAAATGTTTTACTACTAAATAACTTTTGTGAATAAACTTTTTCGATATCTTTAGAAATAACAAAGATCGTAAGGTGATCAAAAAGTGATACAATAGATACAATAAACGAATGTATACTGTAATTAATCAATCTCTTGTTGATTATATAATAAGATTCCTGTTACAAAAATTTCGAAGTTTATGAAAATATGATTAAGAGAAAATAAATATTCATAATGTCCATAATCTTTCTATTCCAAAATTAATACCAAAGTTCTGAAAGCTTTCGATTATGTCTATTCTTGCTTTTCTCTGTTTGACGAATAAGTATTCAGTGTAATACACTCCTTACCACCCATATTTCGCTTAATTCATAGTCTTTCGAAACTTACTCACATTACACAAATTAAGTGAACATTTGCGAGTGTAAGTGGTTCGCGAATGTTTAAGGGCAGTGAGCAGTGTGTTAGCAACGATAACAGTGTCCAGTGATTCGTAGCTGTCGAACCAAACTCGAATCGAAAGTAACGAATTTTCTGAAACGCAACGGTGTAGGCAACTTACGTTACTATTAATACTATGAAACTGTGAAATACGTCGCTATGGTACACCTATTACTTCACTATGGCATACAAGGAAAAAATCAGTAACGATAAGCGATACAATCGACGTGCTACTTTTATATGCTGTGTGTCCGTCGTCTGTTTCATATCTCGGTTCGATACTTTCTCTTAATAAAATTGATGGGAACGAATACACAAATGATAAGAGTAACTTTTATAGTAAAGAATTCTATAAAACGCTCGTTATAAAATCCTACATCGAGGATGCTAATACGATAGTAGTAACGTAAAATAAAAAGTATTAGTTTCTCGTGCGTAAAATATACGAATGACTATATTACCTAACGTAATCTAAAGATATAGTAAGAGAAATCGTTTTGTCCCCTTACGGTACGTTAGTCGGAATTGGATGCACACTATCTCGACAAATATTTGTTTTCTGTAAAGATTCGTTTAGTAATGCTGAATAATACAGGAAAAATTAGCTGAAGAAAACAGAAGAAATTGTTAACTTCGAATAGCTCTTTAAAGTGTAAAAATGATAGAAATGTTGTAAGATAACACAACTGAAAAGTTAATAATTAAATTCGATTGAATGGATACCTGAAAAGTAAACATTTTAATTATTTATTTTGCATTGCAATTCATCTCATGAGTGACTTATGTTAGTAAAACTTTTCATATAAAATTGTTTAAAAATTCCTCGTACCGAAGGGGAAGGAAAATGCTGAACACTGTGCATGTATTATTGAGTATTTTTCCTACTGATTTAACCCCTTGCACTCTCAGACTATCCCCCAGAAAAGATATTTGAATCTCTAAATCATATTCAGAAATATCATCGATATGTCCTTCGAATAATGCAAAGGGAACAAAAAATTCAAGAAAAACTTACGTATTAAAGTCACTCAAGAGAAGGTTAAAATTCAAGATGGCAGTTCATCCTGTTGGAGGATCCAGAGTACAAAGGGCTCAATCACGCTCTCCTTGTGTTCCCTCACCTACAAGAAACCGATTCCTAATGTCTGTGTGTGTTAAAAGTGCTCAAAGAACGATCGATCGATAACAATAAAATCTAGCGAAAGTTTCTCGTTTCTGGTCGTTCATGACGAATAAATACGACTTAAATACTGGCAGTGGAAGATGCAATGCAGTTATCCGCAGAGTAGGTACACGTTTTTAAATAGGTACGCGAAACGTTAAGAGGGACTTAAGTAGTTCCGAACGAATGATCACGCCTCTCCCGCCTGAAAAGAATCGCAAAAATCATCGCCGACGCTCGATATTATAAATAATGTGCTCATACAAAAATAATTACGCGGTCCTCTGGCCCGAATTACATTAATTACGCTCGCACCGCCCGTTATACAACCCTTGTTTCACTAAACCCTGACTGCTCCCAGCGTGCAATTCGCACGAGCCTCAAAGCAACGCGTTCTTAGGCCGTGGAATGAAACGAACCAAGGCTCTGGGAGGAGTCCTTTAGTCTCAGTGTGCACTCAGATTTTCGCCGTTTTCAATCATCTTGTCGCACAAGACGAATTCCGTTTTCAAAGTCTCGTTTTGCCTTTCACGATTTTTTCGAAGTTTGAAGCTTTCCATTAACGTAGAAGCATTGGTTATTCATAGAATAGTGTTCTTTGATTCAGTGTTCCAACGAAACGCGTGAAAAAGACAAGAAACATTGTGTGTCTTTTAAATAGACGCTTCCCTCCGCGCTGTTAATAATTAAATTAATTTCAGTAATAGCCGACAGGTTGAACAAACGAGAAAGGAACGTTCCTCGAAGGATCATAAAGATAATGCAGTAACGAAACGGATTGGATGAATTTCTCTTCCAGTGAGATATCGATCGTCTTTTCGTTTTAGTTAATGAGACAATAGACCTAACAGTCCGCTGAAATCCACGATTAACTGGAAAAGTATTTCTTGGAGAAACGTGAAACTCCCTATACACACCTTTAATACTTACGTGATAAATCGTTTACGACTCGTTTACTTGCGTTGCATTTAAGTTTACAATTACGAATCGTCAGGCGTTTACGTGTCGCGTACATGCAACGGATTCGGAAAATAGTTGCACGAAGCTCGGCTTACTAATCAAGCGTTTATTATATCCGATGGTAAATTCTTAATGCAAATGGTTTTCGACCTCTCAGATGATGTGTTTTCCCACAACTCAAGCTGAAACTTTCAACACTGAACACTCAACAAAGAATGTGATATGAGTTACGCGAATTCTTTCGTGTGGGGCATTCCTAAATCTCTGGGCTGAACTCGACCAGTGGTGTTTACTAATTACACTGACGAAGAAACGTTTTCATAATGAATTTTAAAAATTGTTTCAGACAAAGTACGAAATTATTATTTAATATTATTGAAAACTGTACTCAATTTAAAGGCTAACTAATAGGCCATATATGGCCGCCATCGGTAACCATACACTCTAATATTTAAATATACTTATAAAATTTTAATTACTTGATACACTAAAAATTTAGATGACTCGAATAAAAACATATACCATACTTCGAATTTTTCAATTGATTTCAGAATCGTTCTTCTCTAGATCTGTTTAGTTCATTCTACAGTATAACACATCCATTAATTCAGTACCACAAAAAACGTTTGTTCATCAGCACAATCAACAAAAGAAGTAGATTCGTTTTCCTGATTTAGAAAAGCCCATCGTAATTGGTTGAAAAATTCTCATTTCATCTATTTAGTGTCTTGAAGCTCTCTCGTTCCATCGTTCCCTTACGATGGAGGTTACCAAACAGAAAGGACGTCTGAGAGATCGCGATATCAAGCGTGAACTCTTTACATTCGATCATACTCCATCCACCAGCACCGTCATTCATTAGATTTATTTCACACTGAGCGAAGGAATCCTGCCGTTGGTTATCGTGCACGAGAAATATGTAGTTTTTTTGCACGGTTCCCACTTGCCCCCTCCCCCTTCACTCGTCTCCCCGTGAAACATACACGATTAATAATACCTAGTATGCGTGAAACTGTTTCCAATACCGAGTAAGTCCACGTACGCACGATTATAATAATAATTCTTTCTCCTCGTCCGAACATATACAATCACACTGAGCCGGCTGTGTGTTCGCGAGTGTGTGTCCATCTTTGATTTCGGCCAGCAGGTGCACCGTGACTCCAAGTCTTTCCACGATGATGCGTCGAGGACCCACGTGTTTGTTTGTGTGTCAATGTGTGGCCCCTTCGTCACGGATCTATCCGATCGATACTCGGCACATCACCGGTGTTTACCGTTGAAAGTTCGAATTGGGTCACTTTGTTCGATTCTAGGGGGGTTTCTTCCTCTCGGTCTCGATACGTTTCGACGAATATTTATGGAACACCTGTGGCTGTCCCTCGGCCCTCGCTAGTAGCATTTCCTTGTGCACGTACACTTGCGCACCAGATCGACGTCTCTTGTGTACCGCATCCCGTCGACGCAGATTAGTCGAACCTGCAAAAAATTTATGATTCTGAATCCATTATTTCTTCGACCCGGTTTGGAGATGATGAGACTTCTTAGATTGAATACGCTGTATATTTCGTACAAAGAAAATTTTTCGTAAAACGACGTGTGATATTGTTGCAAATTTAAATGATAGCGTTAAGTTAGAAACGTTAAAGATAAAATGTAAGCTAACAGAAGTTATGCGATGGAATATAGCGATGAGTAGTTTACCAGGTACATATTAAGATAGACATGTATATATTCAGAGAATTAGATCGTACCTTGCGTCGTTTTGTTTTCCGTGGCAGGCAGCAGGAGTTGCCACAACTACCCCAACACTTGGCAAGCTTCACTGGTCGTCTACTCCGACATCCGTTCTCGCTATAGAACTCTCTAGTGTGCTCTTTGCGACACGTCGGCGCTGAAATTCAGAGATTTTTAATACAGCTGGTTTCATTTCATTTGGTATTTTTCAATTTAAATCTTATACTATGACTATGAAATTTTCCAGTCCAAGTGGTGTAATTTTTTTACAAGTTTGATAGAACATAATGGAACTAGACTTTGGTATTCAAGAAAACAAAACAAATGACGAATAACTTGTATAGCAAATACATTCATTCCACACCTGGAAAATAAGATCTGTTCACCGGATCGAACGATTTCTCTTTCGTCCAGTAAAAAGATAACGAAGGCACTGTATTTATAACGCTACGAACTTTCCGAACCACGAAACATATAATTCTTTCAGTACATCGACAATTAATTTTGATGTTCAAAATACCTCTTTCGCAGTATCGTCCCTGCCATCCAGTCTGACACCGGCAGGTGTATCCGCTCCCGATCGGCGAAGGCACGCACTGCGAGCCCTTCTTGCACTCGTGTCCCGCGCAGGGATCGGATATTATCGTGCCGGGTACTGTCATGACCATGTCTGTAATCGAAGAAATTTAAATTAAGTTTTTATTTTGGAACATGTAACTTACAAAATTTTAATATCGACCATTTGCAAGTAATTTGAAATTATAAAAAATACTGTTAAAAACGTAAAATCGTTAGTGTTCGTAGTTGGCTCTAATAATTTGAACACCCACTATATATTTAATTCTCTAGATTCAGGATTTGGAATTAGTAGACTCTCACCGGAATGTTCGTGAGCCATGTTCTCTTCTGCTATAGGTTCCTCGTTGCTGCCGCTGTTGCCCATAAAGCCTTCCGGTTCGACGACGTCTCGCGCCTCGTCAGCCTCTTCCTCGTTCGACATACATCCAGGACTAACTCGATGCATTTTCGCAGCGTTACTGAAGTCCACTAATTTATGGTTGATCCACATTTCGGTGAAACAACCTTGCAAGTGAAAAAAGTCGACAAATTAGGACAAATATAAATAAAGCACACATACTTGCCTATTAACAAATAGTATGTACATACAAAACTACCAAAACTACCCTATTCCAGACAATTCTCTACCCGTGCTAGAACGAAACCGTGTTATGGGAATACCCTGTTATAAGGGGGTTACCTGTATACATTTAAATCTAAATTTCAGGTCACTTTCTTAAGTCACTGATCTATCAATGAGTCCCTCAACATTTTCAATGTCACGTTCTTCAACTATTTGTTCAAGTAAGACTGACCTTGGAAGCTCGTTATATTCCTCAGGTGGAATTCCGTGAACGCAATGTTGGCGACTTCCGGCGCTACGCCGCCGACGTACATCGGCGTGTTGAGCTTTAGGTACTCCTTGGGACCTTCATTGATAATGCTCCTAGCGAGACCGCGGTCGACCCTCATTGTGAAGTTCTTCTTGATCGCGAGAAGTTCAGCCACATGTGGTTTGCCGTCGGCCACCATTTCGTAACTGTACATAGTCGAGGTCGGGTAGTTGCCCACGTCGTATGAGACACGTACACGGCCACTGAACAGCTCGACAGCGATGTGGTCGCCGTTCTGGCCATTGTAGAGGAGAACCCCGTTTTCCTGCGTGGTCGTGAAGACGATGGTCACATTCGCTTCGGGCCTCGTGCGTAGCGGCTCCAGCTCGACCAGCGAGCTGTTGTCCACGAAACTCAAACTCGTCAGGTACTCGCATCGTTTTCCTGGTAAATTGATCGTTTGTCATACCTTGTACAGACGGAATCTCTTCATTCTATTAACCCTTTAATTACTAAAGATGACTACAGTCACCCGACAAAAACTTCGCGTTAAGAACATTGGTTAATCATGGTAGCATATCACATGGGGCTACATGAATTCTAAGTTTCCACCCTGTGTTAATCAGAGAACTTCGGTGAAAATATCAAAAAGAAAATTGTAATCATATTGTTGGGTTCAGTTCATTGCTAATTCCTTAGCCCCCAATATCCATGATTAAGCTACCAGATCTAGGTCTAAGAGAGAAATTATATAAAAGGAATTGAAGAATATAATTCATTACTCACCGGTATAGCCGGGGTGGCACTGGCAAAGGTAGTCCGCGGCGGAAGCGGGAGCTGGCTGGAAGCAAGCACCGTGTTGACAGTCATGGTGGGCACATGGACTAGTCTGTGGATAGAGCATGGCTGTCGAGGGTGCGGCCTCGCAATATCTCCCTGTATATTCCGCCGCGCACTTACACACGTAATTGTTTATGCCGTCGATGCAAGTAGCACCGTTCTGAAAAGCATGACAATGATCGATTATGCATTCAGTATAAAATCTCGCGAGATAGGGCGAAGGGCACCGTACCTGGCACATATGATCAACGCAGTCATCCAGGTTGGTGGAACAATTAAGCCCGGTGAAGCCGATTGGGCATTCACAGCTATAGTGGGTCCCGTGATCGACGCATCGGCCCCCGTTCTCGCAGGGGTCGTGCCCTTTTGTGCAAAAGGGTATTTTCTTCTCGCAGTACTCGCCCATGAATCCTGGGGCGCAGTCGCATCTATAGGCCTGGACGAGGTCGACGCAGGTTGCGTTATTTGCACACTTGTTGTCCTCGCAGTCGTCGACGTTGTTCTCGCATCGAAGTCCCTTGTACCCGGGGGCGCAGTCGCAACTGTCACACACCGACTGATCGTCAATCGAGACATTGACCACCAGCTTCGATCGCGATGCATCCGCTAATCGATATCGCCAGACGTAATCGACCGATCAACGACGTTAGTTTTAATTATATTAAACAGAAGTTAACTCACGATTTTTCAATTAATTGCGAATTTTGCTGGTGGATTGTTAATAACTAACTAGTTTCCCGTAACGTTGATGTAAAGTTTTCTCAATTATCACCAGATATGTGTCGTTAAACTATAGGCTTTTAGTATTTAATTATATGTCTTGTCATCGATAGATCGTTACGTATAGCTGCTACTCTTCGGGCCTCACGTGCAGGGGTCCCGTTTCGTTTGTTCATTCAAAAGACTCACTGCTACTGATACTACAATCTATAATCTACTAATCAACTCTTTAAATCGTTTTCTTACAGTGCAAGTGCAATCCGCGAGTCCTTGCGTCTCGCATTCGGCATCAATGTATCTACAATCGTTGACTCATACTACTGTGTATATTTACTTTCGAATCGAACATGGAATCGGCCAATTCAATTTCAATTTTCTTAAAGATGTACAATGCAACGTTACCCTTTTACCATCGATATTTAATTACAACCGAGAATGATTGCATTACTCGTGCACGTCTACTGAATTATCGACCAATACTACTGTGTCTCACACGCACGGTAGATTCTACAGTGAATGCAAACTCGTGATTTTATGTCTGCAACAGGTCTTTAATCCGATTGAAAACCTCTATTTGCCAATTTCAATATATTCAATTTAACTACTATGAAAACTTGGAATATCAAAGAATAGTAAAGGATAAAATTCAAACGATCGACGAGTTCCTGTCGCAGACATCCCTACTACGGGCACCACTGAACGAGCAATTGTATATCAGGCCCGAACGAGCTGGCCGAAAATAGATGCACTTGTTCGAGAACGTTTTGGTACCTGAATCTTCCTTCTTCCAGTACTTTGCAAGTTCCGGTGTTCCGGCAAGGATTTCCATAGCACGCGTCAATTTTATATTCACACCGGTCCCCATGATATCCTGGCGCGCACTTGCAACGGAACTTCCGGTTCGGGAGCGTCTCGCAAAATCCTCCGTTCTGGCATGGCGAGGTGTAGCACAAGTCGCACTTGGCCAGGACTTCGGCTGGCTGTTGACTGGCTGCGCGGAAGAAAGGTCTACGATTAATGAGCAATTTTAGTACCCGATTGTGACGACGGGACAAAAAACCATGAACTAAACCAGACTGCGTCACGGGCCAGTGAGAAAATCAAAAACATGTCCGCGTGCGGAGAGGAATGACGATCGGTGAGCAACAGAGGCTAGTTGACAGGACTTTATCTTTCAATCATCGTGTCGAACGTATAAATTATCAAAGAGAAACAACGTCTGAAGAAAGATCGAGCTAAGGAAAATTCCAACTGAAGAAGATAAACAACTTATAACCACGTAACCATATAACCACTGTCGAACGTATAAATTATCAAAGAGAAACAACGTCTGAAGAAAGATCGAGCTAAGGAAAATTCCGACTGAAGAAGATAAACAACTTATTTGAGTACAGTATAGAGCAGAGATGGGCAAACCCATTATCTAGATAAAAAGTTTCGAATAACGGATAAAAGATAAAAAAAAGTATTTCGTCATTTTTAATTGTTTAAACGTGGAAATTTCAATTTTTGCTGCTTTTCACTGTGTATTATTCGAATAAAAGTCTGCCCAACTCTGGTATAGAGTCCATTCTCAGATGGGATTAGGATAGAAAGTCTCGACGAGATATATTCTTTGACTTCGACTATTACAACCAGCCACTTTTGCCACGATCACGATGTTCGTCATTGGAGTACTTACTTTTGCATTGGAACGCAGTCGGAGATGTCGTCAACAGCAACTTGTCCCTCATCGCTGGGGGCTCCATACACCTGGCGATACCTGCCTCCAAGAAATCCCTCTTCACCCACTCGGCCAACCACCGCATACTGCAGTCGCAGTAAAGTGGGTTGGACCCTAGAGCGCTGTAAACACACCGGTTGGTGAATTATTATCGACGTCGCGGACGGTGGCGGGTGTGCTTCACGGAAATGTGTGAGATACTCACAGGTGGGTTATAGATTTCAGATCATCGAACGCGCCCTCGGGGATCACCGATATGTCGTTCCCGTGCAGAGACCTGATGGAAATCGGAAATTTATACGATTGGTAGTGAACGATCAAGTAGCGAAGGTTTTTTTCTTCTGTTACACCCTGTATATACATATTCTGTATGTCAAGATTAATTTAGAAGTTAATTAAAATAAATTTACCACTTTTCAATCACTTCTAAACAAATTCTGGACGTTCTATTTATTAATTTCTTAAAATACTGTTTATCTGAATTTTCCTATTCTGGTTTGAGATACTCCCAGGGTTAGAGAAATGTCGTTAGATACAGAAATTTTCTGTGGGAACTGGTCGAAATATATTTTTATATTTGATGTGATTTTATATTTTATATAATCATACAATTGTTTTCGAAATTATCAGTGCAAATGGAATTAATAACGCAATCATCAGAACAAACGTAGTGGTAATGCATCGCCGACCACTGCGAACCGATAAACCAGCGTGATTCCTCTCGTTAATTCGGCACAGATTGGTTCTTCGACATCAGCGATCCAATTTGTTCTATTATCGAACTTTAATGCACGTTCCGTTATCAGTTGGTCGGTTCTCATGTACTACTTTTTTCAAGGTACATTCAGACATGGTACTTTCAGATGAAAAATGGCATCGACTATTCGAATATATGACTAATTTTTTTCTCCTAATTTGTAATGTCCATTTAAGTGTCGAACGCGATACAATAACATAAATTCACGAATTATCTTGTTAGTAAAATAATTGGTAATCAAAACTTACATTATCCTTAACGATTTTAAGCCAGCGAGGGCATTGCGTTGGACACACTGCAGCTTATTGTAGCTGATGATACTGTAAATCACAGAAAAACAAATAATATTCGGTTATTTTAAATTTTATACAGCATTAACGATTATGTCTAATGTAAAAATAAACACGTTCGTTGCCATATTGGCCATTGGTAGCCACCATTAAAATCTTCTTCCGAACCCGCTTCATAATTCACATATTCGTACAGCAAATCCACATTACGAAAATTATTATTAATGAAAGAGATAAAAACATAATTACCATATGTATCGATGTACAATAGAATATTTTATTATTAAATTAAATGGCATAATTGTAAATCTTTTAATCTGAATAATCTTTAATTTTGTAAAATGTGACATACAGATCTTCACAAACACTGATACCTTTTATCTCGACATTACAATAAACGCCACTAGTAAAATTATTTAAACAAATATATTAATATTTCTCGTAACCTGTCTTGACACATTATATTTTAAATTTCATTCAAAAGTGTACAGCAGTGTTTCAGTTATAGCAATTTTACTAAAGTGTACGAGAATTTTCGCCGGCGATTAAGCATAAGTTTGTAGATGGCAGTTTGAGCGCGAAATGTGTTAATATAGTTCAGCTGAAAAACTAAAAGCGTTAGATACGTACAGGTGAGACAGCTTGGTGAGGTTCCTGAAGGTGTCGTTGGACAGCATTCCGATCTGATTGTTGCTCAGGTCCCTGCGAAACAAGAGAATTTCAACACTGTTTTCACGTCGGGCTACTTCTACGAACGAAATGGCACGTGTATGTTATTTACAGTCTAGTCAGAATCCTCAGGTGGTTCAATCGCTCCGGCCTGATCGTCTTGATGTCGTTCACGTCCAAATACAGCTCGGTGGTTTCCGGCGGAATCCCGCGCGGAATCTCCGTAAGCTGAGACCTCGAACACCTTACCACTGACCCGGCGCAATTACATTGGGGTGGACAGTAATCGTCTCCTAGGCAAACTACGCTGTCGTCTGCGATTCGTAAAATTTACCGTACGATTGTTAATCACCGGATCGATTCGAAGGATCAAAGGAATGGCCGGGGAACATCGACGAAATATTCTTCAATATTTCATTTTTGTTTTTACAAATAAATCTATACCAACGGCGGACTTTCTACAATTTTGTTAGGTCATCTCATAAGTAATATAATGTTTTCGATGTGTAGATACTTTTATGAGAATAAACAACTTCTTGTCAGTAATTAACGATTAATACACTGTTCACAAGAGTTAGGGGATCGATAATGTGGACAGGCCCTGTTGCACTCATCAAGTGAAAGAAGCGAAATAAGTGCTACAGGGTTGCTAAATTGACATCTTTTTTTCTACAATGCTAATGTCTATAATCTATCCAACGAGACGAAGCAGTAACTGTGAACAAATGGAGGTGATAACTATTTAGGTGGGATAGGGACAAATGTTTTGGTTATTTCTATTACCCAGTCTCGTTGGATGGACTACAGTTATATTTGTATAAAAAAAAATGTTCATTCGTCACGTCTACTTTAAACGATTTTAACAACTGAATCGTTTGGTCTACACCCGTGAGTTTTCGATGTAATATTTTCTTAACTTTCGTTGAGGTGATTTTCAAAGGTAAAATAATAGCATCTTACTGTTGCATTTGAATTCATGATGAGGAATATCCTTGATGACAGCGTCCTTCAATCGCGGTGGATCGTGACAGTGGCCAACCACACCAGATATGTCGCGTTTCCTCAGCCATCCGGCGAACCACGCGAGATGACAATTACACGACAAAGGATTGCCTTGCATGTTGCTGCAAATGCGAGGCAATTTATTAAACTGCTATTAATTATGCGCACGGAAGCCGGAAATATTTTAGTCGAGTGTGTTAGGGGAGTTAGTGCAGCTGTGTATTAACACGAAGATAAATATTAACGAGCCACCGTCCTGTACAACCTCTGTATAATATTACAGTAATTAAATATACATTCTGTAATATTGCAACTGTCATAATATTAATATGTCAAATTATGATGGGTATACCATGATACTGGGTTGCACGGATTGTTTGTAGCGTTCCCGAGGGCTGAGTTGCAGTCTGTATTTTTCCGTTTATATCCCATTTTTATTCACTACTTTTTTGACAACGTCGATTGTTCTAGCCAGCAAAATTCTTCAACCTGCTTCTAGATAGATTTTGTTCTTGAAATGTTTTTATGTTACAGAAGGTTCCAGCGATCTAGTAATCATCGATTCTTGTATAAACCTATCAAAAGTGTTTATTTACAATTTTGTAAACATTTCTGTGTAACAGTATATACATACACATGTACACGAAGAGAAACTGTAAAAGTTAAGTATAAAACACTAAACAACTCAACGTTTCTTTTCTTTCCTTTTGAGAACAGTGAATGATGTATGATATTTGGATTCAGATCGTAGAATGAGGATGTAAAAATGGGAAATAAGTTGTGTCAATTTTAAACGGTGGGTCATCGTTGCAATGTTACTTACATGCTTCGTACGTGTGTCAATCCCTCGAACGCTCCTTGCATAACACAGGTAATGGCGTTCCCATGAAGGTTCCTGCGAAAATGAAGTTCGAAGGATATAGTTTTCCAGTGATACCGTTTTACGGACGTCCATAAAAGTTTCTACTCACAGAGTCTTAAGATTCGTCAGGCCGGTGAACATCTTGTTGTGAACTTCCCTCAGCCTGTTCTCCGACAAGAGTCTGCGAAACGACGGGTCGTTATTCCACGGGGGCAGGGTCGTGGCGTATATAAAGTTTCGGAATTATTAGAGGCAAAAAGAACGATGGCCGTGGTTTAGGGGCTCTGTTCACGCGTCGTTGGGAATCGTCCGGGGCTGGTGTGCCGTTGGCTCGTTAAATCGAGGGAAAAATCTCGGTGGAATTATCGTTATTTAACGTGACCCGATGTATTTTCGATAAATCGCGGCTGGAGATCGAATAAACGAAAATTATTGCACAGGAAAGTGGCGAAGGGCGAAATTCTTTTGAGCTACGATAGGTGATCAAATTATTAGAGCCATAGTTTGAAAAATATATTCCTTTGTGTTTGTGTAAAAACAAACTGACAATATCAATGTATTTACGATGGTTAATTATTAATTAATATTTGTCTAGTACGAATATACAAAAAAGTGTCAATTAATTAAATCGTCAGTTTATGTAGGTGGCTCTAATAATTTGGTGATTCGCTGTGGAAATATCAGGATTGCGTTATAAGTATACGCATTTCTGTTTTAGATTTGAACTTTTTCGATGGAAGGAATTTTTGTCGTTGAATTTTGCTCTCGATCGGAATTAGTCAACTGTAATTTGCTTTTCTTTGACGACTCGTGACATTCTGTATTCACTTCCCGCACTCGTCAGCGCCAAAATACTCGTGAAACATCGCCAAGCCCTGCTACGGCGACTATCAAATTAATCGACACATTGTCCCGTTAATTGCCATTGGAAATTAAATCCTATTCTGCTTCGTTAAAGCTCGTTTCAAAATCCCGATCGAGTTAGACACAAATAACGCCGGTAATCTCGGGTCAGTGAACACAGCTGGTGTTATTTCAAACTTTCTCAGCGGGAAGCATTTCATTAAAAAAAGACGACGATTTCTAGAAATTCTTATTATGTACAATGTAAATTTTTTGCACACTCGGAAATGAAATAGATTCTTTGCTAGTCTATGAAACAAATAGTTGTTTCTCTATTCTTGTATTAACATTAGAACTTCCAAAGCCGTCAGAATGGCAGATTGCAGATTCCTTATTTTATGATTATTGAAATTATAACAGTGCATTTTGTGTGTTACTAAATTATACTAAATTATTATGTGTTTTGCTATGTTATACAATTTAATTTAGTATACATTGGTTCTACAACACTTATCGTTTACCAACAATCGCACAATTTTTATGCCTTCCAGTCATTAAAAAAAAAACGCATGGAATTTCTTTGACACCATCACAATAGATTTCGAGTGTTTAAAAATTTTCCGACTATATTTTAATTGATGGTGGCCAACCAGCGAGATTCACGGAATACGTGCGATTAAACGCAGCGGCGCCCGTTCTGTCGCGAAGGCAAAATAGAAAAACAAAAAGCGAAATAAAGGGGCGCAAAACCGGGTAAAAAGTGGGGGAAACGAGGGATGGTCGTAGAAAAACTTACAGGTCGGTGAGCTTGTGCGCCCCCTGAAAGGCGGACGCCTCGATGCGTGAGATTTTATTGTTCCTGAGGTCCAAATGCTGCAGCTCGGGCAGCTTCTCGAACAAACCGTCCGCTTTGATCTTATCCAGCTCGTTGTTGGCCAACAGTCTGCTCGCGGGGGACAAAGACAACCGAGAGACGTGAAAGTTAGTGTCTATCGTCAGCGTCCGATACGGCGAGCAATTAATCGCGCTCCGGGGCGTCGATCCATTAAACGAGTTCGAATAATTTATTTCGAATAATAGCTCGCCGTTCATCGTGCCCGACGCCGCCCCCCTCGGGGCCGGATTTTAATCAGATAATTATCTTGTCGGTCGATTGAATTAATTTTCTCGCGCGGAAGAGAACGATTCGTCTCGATCGATTGCCCCGATCCATCCTCTTCTATCTTATATGTATATACAATTCAGTGCACAAGATTTTATCTTGGATGTAGAATAGAGCAAATCATATCAGACATTCAGTGTTTTTTTTTTCTGTACCAGAAAGTATCTATGTTATTTTATCTTGCGGGATGAGAAAATTGATTCTTTTCTATCGAAAGTTGAAATATACGAAATATATTAAAAGAGAAGTTTTATTGGGACTTTACGAGTTCAATATAATGTGCGTTTTTTTTATGTTTGTATTATTTTGTTGGAATTATCACGTTGAATGTATAATGTTACTCACAAGGTGGATGTATAGATTGGCAGCTTCTTTGGTATCGAAGTTAGTGTCCTGTTAGAGCAATCGACGGTAGCACCGTTGCAGGTACACGGATCTGGACACTCTCCGGGCAGGATACAATCACCAGCTCTCTTCGTCAAGAGCTCCTCGTCGCCTAGGAACATACAGCCGGATGTATTCTATTTCAAACAATCCTGCCCAGTTTGCCTTTCCTTGTTACGACCACAGGAACGCAATTTCTTGAATGAATCGATGATTAAAGCGATTGAGAAGAATCAATTTAATTCACTCTCTGATGAAGTAATTTGAATATGATGAATGGATACGATAATGAGCATGAAACTCGCAAGGGAATTTCAATTTATGATATCTTTGCAGGTTCGTAAGTGACTTTTTTTGCCACTTTTTACTTCGTCGGGGTGAAAACACCACTTAAATGTTAATATGTGTTTTCCTATTTTTCCGTACATCCTGAAAACTATTCTAGATATAAAAAATTGTTACAATGAAAATTTAATAGGCATTTATGTTATTTACAACTGTGTAATGGAGTTGTACAAAATTAGTTGTTCAAACAAATAAATACATAAACAAATTTTTGATAATTTCATTGCACAGTCTTATAAAGCATAAAAAGCCAAAGTCAGCAAACAAAATTTCCTGATTCTTTTATAAAGGTCCCTTAAAAACCTACACAGTTAAAAAAAGAATCGGAATTTTCTCAGACTTCTAAAAAAGGTATTTAAAATCTCCTAAAAAAAGTTCTTGATACTTCCAATATCAGAATATACAATGCCAAAGCAATAGATCCAACATTACTCTTAAAACCAATAGAAAACATTTTGAATATTGTTTTCAGAAGCTACTTAAATATTCTATTTCTACTTTACGATATCGAACCACCCAACGTTCGAAAAGCTCGAAATCCATCGCGTCGATTAGGTCACGTGGCGCCGGCAAGGATCGTCGATGGTTTCTGTGAAATTTCTCGAGGAACACCTTGCCCGAGTTTCGCCAGAATTTTTTTCTCCGGGAAAGGCGGAGGTCACGAAAGTTCCCGGCAAGTTTTACGCGGGTTCGGACGGTAAGTTCTCGTTTGTGGGAACGCGGCGTAACGATAATGTGCGGCCACATACGTGCCGGCGAAGTGTTTATTTTCCGGTGTCATTTACTCAGCAGAAGTTGGCGTGCGCACGGAAGCAGCAGCCAGGACGGGCGGGGGAACGCGATTATATTCTGTGCGGTCGGGCGCAATTAGGGGGGGAAATATACAACCGTGAAAAGGAGAAACACGAAGTTCCCGTTGTTATTCTTGAACACGCGCACGTTCAAGATTCCCGCGCGGTTCGCATGCACGTCAGCCGACTCCTCTGCACCGTTTTCGGGTCGTCGACTGTTAATTCTTAATAGTCACTCGATTTCGTGCCTCGAGAATTGCTCTATGCTTGCCTCGGCCATTTCAGACTTTACAGGGTGTCCCATATAAGTGTCGCCGCGAAAGACATTCAATGAACTTTACAAGCAATTGTGTTAGAATAAAGTTCAACTATAATATATTCAAGTTTGCACATAATACGTGTATTTCGTTATTGTCACTAAGACAGATTGTAAATAAGAATGAGTTAATAAAAAAAGATGTATGCACAATTTTCGTAAATCATTCTTATAGTTTTACTCCTCATCCCTATACTTCCACTCCCTCGAGATTGATTAAATCTTCTTAATTAATCAGTATATTAAACAAAATGATACAAAATTTTTTTATATCTTCAAATATATATTAATAATCTCTAGACTGATGGTTTACTCTGTATGTTATAGTTTCCTTTTACCAACATCCTGAAAAACAAATTTTTTACAGCGTTGACACCAGAATGTACCCTTAAGAGATTTCTTGACTGGCGAATGATCTTCCCTAAAAAGCCCCGGTTGATTAATCGAAAGCGAAGCGGGTGGGCTAACGCGCGCTCGCGCACCGGGTTACCATGTTAACGTCGCGACGATAAATTTTGATAATGAACAGTAGTAGCGGCGATATCATTAAATTAAGCATCGGCGCAATACCGTGCTCTCCCCCTCTCTCTCTCTCTCTCGCACGTTAATTGAGTGTTGAATGTCATGTGCTCCGAGAGGCGAATATGTTTATGTATGAGTACGGGCACACAGGTGATTTATCATCGCATTATACGCCGCGTTACAAATTGTCCGCCGCGGTACATGCGCGTAATTATATCGGTAATTTGCGTTCTGCGTTTAATAATACCGGGGTACGCGCGTCGCGTGGCCACTTTCTCCGCGAGCTTCGTTGCCACGTGTGTTACTATAGTCACGATCGGCTTCGTTCACCTGGTTCATATGACCGATTTTCTGTCTAACTAACCTCTTTACACGGTTTACAGTTTTAGCACTCGAAATTCGAGTTTTTGCAAATCAAATTCACCTTTTTGAAGATGAAATTCACCCTTTTCCAAATGAAAATATGCATCTTTCATCATCAAAAGGGTGAATTTAATTTGCAAAAGGGTAAATTTGTTTGTAAAAGGGTGAATTTGATTTGCACAAGGGTGAATTTGATTTGCAAAAAGTTGAACCTTGAGTGAAAAATTATATATATACCTTAGTGACTATATAAAATTATCCGGTGATCAAACACACCAAAGGTCTACCAAACTGTTCGGTAGAGAAACTAAGTTTCCGCGAAGAAGAAAAGTCAAAGGTGTTATTAGAATGATCCTATGTACGGTGATTATTCAAGGGAAAGTTCCGAAGACTTAATAAACATACAAATTGAAACACAACAATTGTTCAAAGAGAATGAGAAATACTATTGATCGATATCATAGGTTAAGGAGGCGATTATTAGACTGAGGATGTTTAGGCATTTATAACGTCCTCTGACTTGCAAAGCATAGCAAAATAAAGATTCTACTAAAGTTCAATAGTATTTAGTAATTATTGTTAACATTTTAAAACTCCTAGTATTAAGAAGCAACTTCTGTGCAACTCTGTTTTTTTTATATATATTTGCCCAAAATTGTAATTGTGCATAAACATCCGCAGTCTAGTGATTATAGATCGGTTGGAAAATTGAATGAAACTTTCCCTTGAACAAACGGAACAGTGCATAGGGCGAGCATGTTAGATGTAATGAAGAGATGATTTCGTTCGTGATAATGTGAAAATATGTTGATGAGCTACCGACCTGTGTCCGTGTTCCGGCGTAGCATTTAGAAGAGAAAAATATCGGAAAAATCGAGTCGTGCTTACCCTTACATTTGAACTTGTCGTCCCGCATCGAATTGATCTTCCGCTTCTGCGCTCTCTTCGGCGAGTCGCACTTAGCTCCCGACGTCTCGATGGGGTGCGCGTCAAGGTACGCCCTCAGCCATCGCAGATTGCAATCGCAGATGAACGGATTCTCTGCCAAATGTCTGCGAGAAATCGAGGAACGTTTCGTTCAAGCCCGTGTACTTGCGATCTCCCGCCGTTCGGAGAATGTTCTTTTCCCTCCATATTTGCGCGGATATTATACAAATTCTCGCGATCTATTCTTTCGGAAAAATGTTAGGTCGGTTCAACCCTTCCGCAGCTTAACCCTTAACCGGACACGTGAAGTTTTCGTGCAGAAACGGTCACGTGGTATCTGTGAAAGATCGGTATCTTTAAGAACCGGTAGAAAACCGAAATTCTGACAAAATTCTTAGATGTCGATGTAAATTGAATTTAATTCCATCAAACACCGTGTGCATAATTATTCACATATATTTTAATAATTTTTTCTTTGTTTTACTTGCTGTTGGTTTTTTAATACTGGCAACATTTCTGAACATAATCTAAAATTAGCACCGTTGTGTGTTATCCTATCTGCGGAAAGATGAGGCAAGGTCTACGGGAAGACAACGTAAAGTCATGCCATAAAAAACATACCCCCATTTTCGTGACCTTGATACATAAAAAAGGATTCAATTATATATTCTTTGCATATTGAAGTAGCTTCTTTTCTGCACGAAAATTCTAAAGCCGCAGTTTCGAACCGTTCAATCGTGATATTAACAATTAACTAATTAATCGTAATGAATTCAATATAGTTGGTTTAGGTTTTTTGGTGCCCAGCTAAACTGCAGAAGGATTAATCTTCGCTTCCCTGAAATTTGTTTAGTTTTTCATTTGTTTCATGATATAGAATCAACTTTTTGTTAATTATACCGCGAATCCCGGCCCATTCTCTGTATCACAGAAATAATCGAACGCGAAACTTTCGACAAAAAAAATAGCCCATAGTTTTCGCACAATTTCACAGGATGAATTGGTATTCGGTTGATGAGAATTCTAGAGAACGGTGAAATAGTGTTGGTCGAGCGATGGAATACGAGTTCGCAGAAAACACGGGGAACAATTGACAAAATGCGCAGTGACATGCATTCGCAATTCGATCCTGCAGTAGGGACGAGGGATGGCGGGGGACCGCGCAGTAGCGTTAAAGCCGTGGTAATTTGTATAAATTAATGGTTCAATGGTGGGATACAAACAGCGTTTCAATGCTTCGCAGATTGGCGAAAGTTCCATTGGCTAGGGATCTGATGTTGTTATCGTACAGAGACAACAGTGTCAGGCTGGTCAGATCTCGGAACAGATCGGTTCGTATACAGGATATTTCGTTCGCGTTCAGCAATCTGAAAAATTGATTTTGCTTTGTGAATTTTGGTTCTTTGTAATGGAAGCGACAGCGCTCTCACAAGAAATATACTGTTAAGAGACCATTAATTGGTACAGTTAATTATAATTTTATGAACGACAGTAATGATCACTCCTTCTATGTTAAATTAAACTACATTCTCAATATATATATATAACTCAATCATAAATGCAACGAACACAAAGGCTAATAATAATATTCAGAACAACTTGATCAAAGTGAAATGTTTCTAGATGTATTAACTTACAGCAATTGTAAATTGTTCAAGCTTTGGAACAAACCGCTCGGCAAATCAGCGATTTTGTTTCCGTAGAGGACACTGAAAGCACAAAAAAATCTGTTTATCGATCATCGCAATTGCGTGGTTTCCGTAGTGCATGGTTTATACGTACAGCGATTCGAGCGATTTCAATCCATGAAATGCATCCGCCGCTATCTTTTTAATCTGATTGTTGCTGAGGTCACTGTGGGTGGACGGCCGGAAAAGAAAGAATAACCAAACGTTAAACGCTGTCGGAATATGTACATACCTACTGTTTTAATATGCAACGCGGCTTAATCACGAATACGTCACTCACATTCTGCGCAATTTTCTGTACGGCGAGAAAGCCTTCGGCGGGATTTCAGTGATTCTGTTCTGCTCCAACCGCCTGTGGACGATCGAACACAGAAATTAACAAAGTTCCGTCGCTCTGATCGTTTCATTTTCCGCTAAACAGTTGCCAACAGATTCATTGAATAGTTTCGAAAGTTGATAAAATAAATCAAACAGTTTCCTGATATATTAAATAAGCTATTATTCACTTACAATTTTAATTATTTACAAATTTACCTCAAGATCAGTTAAGATGGTGGCCATTACTTAAATTGAGAAAGAAATTGTAACAGTATTATTTTAATGAAGATGGTACGGTAAAAAAACTCGCAGAACTTAGTTGACGACCTAATAACAGTAGTTTCCTGGTAATTCAAGAATGATACGCCACCAGAGCAGTGCAGTGTACAGAGTTTAATTGCGAACTTTACGTCAATATCAGGTCTGAAATTACACGGGACAGGGATTTGGCAACTGTCCGGCGGTAGGTAGGACAAGGTATCTCGTTTACGAACAGTTCAGTGGTGTCCTCGGGAAGGTGGGTGGGCACTTTCGTCAAAGAATTCTCTCTGCAGTCGACGATACCGTCCGCGCATTTGCACGGATGCGGGCACTGCGGTTCCGCGCTGCACTCGGATCCTGTGCGCTCAACCAGCCCCGAACACTTGAACTCGTGCTCCTGCATGGAAAAAGGGAACCGAAGAATTTTTAGTCAAAGAACCGGCGACGGCAGTGTGGAACTCCATGGAAGTGATAATAAAGCGAAGGAAACGATTCGAGGCGAAGGCTGTAAATGTAACGAGTGCCATTTTGGAACACTCGAGATATGACGGTTGGCTCGTATTTAATTAATTGGACGCTGATAAAATAGTGGTTGATATTTTAAGGTCTTTTCGTGAGAGGGGGAACTCTGATAGTGGTTTAGAACTTTCTAACTACGGTTACTTTATGAGATCTGTTTTAACAAGGCGATACACTGGATGATAACTAGTGGATACTAAATTCAGTTCTGCGGCAATTTATCTTTAACCTTGCCACGGTCTTTGGACCTATTTCGATTCTATCACGTTTTCGTTTCTTTATGGCTGTTACGATTTTACACACATTTTGATCTTAATCTCGTTTTTACAGAAATGTTCTTAGGTACACTACTGCTCATAAGTATTAGACCACTTATCGAGTATGCAATAAAGATTACAGAGCACTACGAAATCGCTGAAAGTACAAATATTGTTTAAGGGATATTAAATCTCGATGAAATAATAAAAGTGTCTTAGAATATACAATTTATACGAAACATCGTGTTTTCTTCATACAGGCCAACTGTCCCAATACTTATGAGCGATAGTGTATACGTATGAATATTGTTACTCATTTGTGTGTTTCTCATTTTTCGTTATTTTTTCGAATATACAGTTGAACTGAAGACCGCATTTAACAAGGTTAAAATCCTTTCTTTAACTTTTGTGCACTGTTTAATAAATTGTTGCATTACTATTCCTTAAAATAAACTTGATTCAATCTAAACTCGAGGTAAGGAAATATACATACATGTCGCTTCATTGTTACATATTTAAACGACTGGTGTCAAAATAATTTAAAAGATTCTCTGATAAAGAATCTAATTAAAAATTGAAGTCTGAATATGGGTAAAATTGCACCAAACAATACACAACGGTTACGAAACATCTTTGAAAGGATGTAAGAATTTAGTATTAATTTTATTTGTTATCTAAAACCAAGAAGTATAGTTTACAAACCTGTAGATCGCCGATATTTCGATCCTTCAGGTGTATCGGCGAGGCGCAGCGCGTGTGTTGGCCAAGCCTCGGGCGCGTTTTCAAATATCGCGACAACCAGGCTAAATGGCAGTCGCAAGAAAGTGCATTGTCGACCAGCTTCAGCGTTCGCAAATGCGACAGACCGTTCAACATTTCCTTTCCCAACGTTGTTAGTTTATTATTACTCAACATTCTGCAACGAAGTCGCAATAAATTAGACCTTAGACTACGTAAGCTTTAATAGTGACGAATTAAAAATTGTTCCCTAACTATTAAGAGTATCAATAAATAATCCACTATTTTTTGACGAAATCGGTATTCGTTTCTGTAGAAGTCAAGGACCTGTACTGTTTAATTTATACTCATGGTGATCTTCTCGCAGGCTATACCATTGTTACTCAATTCAAGATCAAAAAGATTCCTTTCACTTAAAGTATCTCGTCTCAGAATTTAAAGAATAGTGAATTACTTACTAGAAAAAAGAAATTTGATCTACTCACAGTACTTCTAAATCCTTAAGTTCTTGCATCGACGCTTCATCGATGCAGGTCAACACGTTGTTGTCGAGCACCCTGCAAACGAATAATTGACGAGTCGACTGTAGTATCTTCAAAACTTCCGGAATATATTTTATTTTAGTAAATTATCCGTGTTAAGATTCACGGAACAATAAAGTCTTATATTTTAATATCACGATAAAATTGACGAAAAATTTTATCAAGAATCAGCGTACCATGGAAACCGTAAAAGAACAAGAACGGTAATTAATTAAAGACTGGGGTCAAGAAGGCAGTAAAGTAAGAAATGGGTGCCGTAGAAACGACCTTCGAAATGTCCATTTTATATTCCTTCGAACTATCTTTTTTACGTCGGCGAGGAATTTTCAAATTAAAGTGGAATTAGCTCAGCTTCCATAACATGTCTGACCAGGTCGGATGATACTACTTAACCGGGAGATGTATCGTCGACCTCTACTACTAGCTTGAAATTTTTTGTTACCCATCTCGTTAATTAGAATTCATAGACAGTTATTTAATATCACTACGATCATCTTGGAAATACTTACAGATGTTTCAGGGATGAAATTCCTCTCAGTGTCTTTGGTCCGATCGTAGCAATTTGATTGTGGCTCAGGTCCCTGAAACAAATACAAACCGGCCTGTTTAGTAAAATAATTTACTTTCACTTGGCAGAGACAAAAGAAAATTGGCTAAAATTTTTCATTCGGAAAACTAAACTTTAACTTCCAAAATTTTATGAATCAGCAATTTTCCTTCTCACGGTCCTACTATTTTATAATAATTGTTGAAGAAATGTTACGAAACAAACGTAACTTAACAGACACCCAAGCTATTCTCCAGCCACCCTGTAATACATTCATTAAAATTAAACGCTTCGCCGATCAAATGTGTCTCGAACAAGCGTCTCCTACAATATCGAGTCGAATTCTCTCCGAGCAGACGGAAAGGAAAAGGAAACAAACTTCTTCTTCCGTCGTTCAAGCGTGTGCAACAACAAAGTCGATTACGTAATCGAGCGCAAGGCACGAAGAAACCCTCGAAGACATCGGCATCGATCAATTACCCCGCGAAGTTCCACGGTAATGGTTCGGTGCGTCGACCTTTCGAACTCTCTTCTTGCCCGGGGATAAAGGTCGGTTTACAACGGGTAACAGCGCCACGCCGTAGCGTAGCCTACTTCGCCGGCAGTTCGTCTCGAGTTCGCTCTACATTCGTGATAAATTATTCAAAAACTTGCTGCGATCCGTTGGATGCGACTACGGGAAATTGTGGACGGCTCACGTGTGACCATGTACACGTGCGCCGCGATCACGTGGGCGGCTATGGATTCCTTTAAGGTCTCGTGGGGTCGTTACACCGGTAACGAGTGACCATTTCCTAGGACGTCACGTGACAACACGGTTACCACGAAACCGTAGACCCGTTTCCCTCGTTTTTCCCGCGTTTTCCAGGCCGTGGAGGTGTTCCTGATGAATATTCAACGGACGTTGGGTGGAATCCTATATCTGCATCGATCTTCAGGTATCGTTTAATTCATGGTGCCTTTAACATTTTATTTGATCGGAGACATACCGCACAGGAGGTTGAACGAGAATTCTCCTTCTTTTTCCCTTTATTATGCTTGTAGGTGAATTGTCTAGAATCACGATTGGGTTTCAATGATGAAACGATCAATAAAATATAGAAAAACTGCTTCTTACAATTAGTGTCACTGTGCTTCTTTAAACGCGAGATACCACGAGTCTTCAGAAAGGGGATTAAGTCTGGACGAGAAAGACACATGCGAGTTCGATCGTACGAAGCTCACGCGGCGGGTTTCATAAAACGAATCTGCGTATACTTCCGCGTGTACACGTACGTGTGGGTGGTATGTAGGTCATCGTCTGAAAAGTTTATGCGATAACCCCCGTCCTGTGTCGTGGTGACGGGGCAGAGGCCGAGTGTGAACTTTCACGTGTACGAACTGTATTAAACGAATTCGTGTCGAAACCGTTGAATGTCTTTTATTTATTTATTTTTCACGTGTATATTGCTGGACACTGTTTATATACTACTATCTGACATTATGTTTGTCATTAAATATCGTGTTATCATTGAGAACAATAACTAGCAAACAAAGAATATAATAAATCCTCCTAGAGATCCCTAGGTGTAACGCTGACTTTTTAATGAGATTTCTGAAGCCAAAGATATTTGTTTCAGCCGCATATGGTCATTAATTTATGAAATATTTCATGTTCAGTACTGAGGAGCCTTCGAACACTCATTGAGAATTTATTGTACGTATAATTCAAAATGGATTTAGCTTCAGAGAGTATGTTATGATACAGTACAATTTCAATGGAACATTCCAGTTAAAAAACTTCGAAAAATTCGAAGGGTGATTACAAACTGACTAGAAAGACTAGAAAGGTGCAATATCAGGTGAATTTTACCTCTTTTGTTCAGAATACTGAAACAAAATTTTTGCCATACACAGTATACGTGGTGTCCTCAATTTAAGTGTCAAAACTTCGGGAGTAGTTGGGCCATACGTGCATTTTATCAGTGTTCCCGAATGGAACCAGAACTATCAATCAATCGCTCGAAACACGGTTCCCTGACAGAATAGTGACACTACACTGTTGCACAAAAAAGAAGACAAAGGCTGAACTGGTGTGAATATGTAAAAGACAAACGCGAAAAATTGCGTCACAACTGCATCCTACGAAATAGGAAAAATCTTTTGAAATCACCTGATACTTCATAGCAGTCTACTTACTACTTAAAGATCGACATTAGCATAAACATCCACAGTCTACCAATGACTCATAGTGCCGCTGACAAGTCAAAAGTGTTTCATCGATGACCTCCACGACAGTCAACGTGTTAATATCTCAGAATCTATTCGTTTCACGCACAAACGACCAAGCGTGGGTTTCACCTCGTTCGTTCCTCCGCGCCTAACCATCAGGATTCATTGAAATCCGTTTCGTTCTTTTTTCGTGAGCCGTCTTCGATCGCGCACGGGTCGCGGCCGACGAAACGTGTGATTAACCCATCGCGGCTGAACACGTAGAAAGCCGTTCGTGGTGGCAAGAGGATGAAACTCGCCTGTAATAAATGGTTTGACACAATGGAAAGGGGGCGCGGACACTCGGGCTGATTAGTATCACTACGCCGTGTAAGCATATTGCGCCCGGTTTGAAACGCGATACCTCGAGAGGCCCGGGTTGGTGAACGTACAAGCTTGTATTTACGAGGCAATAACATTTGTTCGCTGTACACTTAAGCCGATAATAACCGGGACAAACGTTCCCCTCCGTCGGTTTGACAGGCTGGCGTCGCGGTGATTTAAGCAACGAAACGGATCGGGGGGCCGAGTGTCTTGCGATTCGCGGACACGAATATTTACGGCCCTGTATTATTTCGTCGCGTAAGTCGCGGGTTCGACGCCCGTTCACCCGTGAACACGGTATTTCCGTGTGATCAGGGCTACGAAAATACCGTGTCGAAGCCGGACAGCCCAGATTATAGTATTACATCTAGCGATAAGTAATCCATTAATACCTGACGATATTAGTATTAGTCTTTATGAAGCTCGAGAATGAGTTTCATTTGTATTTAGAATGGTTGCTCAATATCTTACAACATTTTTATAGAGCCAAAGGTCGGTAAGATATCTTTATGGTGAAATATATTATTGAAATATATTATATTGTCGATTAGGTATTGATACGTAATTTTAATAATTGATTATGTTCCATCGAAATGATTTTTATAATTATCTAAGTGTCTTCATAATTATCACCAACAATGTATCACTTCAGAAGAAAACTGTTTTCGTAAATTGCTGATAAAAAGTGTTAATATCATACGAAAGATGACTGTTCCAACCTCAATTCGGAAACCTTTGGGACAAACCGTGTATAATGGTAAGACAGAAGAATTCTGCGACAAACGAACAACTCTTATGATTTCGTCGCTATCAATCCGGTTTCGTTTCAGACCGACCCTTATCGCGCTCACACAAAGCACAGCGGCAGCAACATTCGGGATTGAACGGAGCAGAGGGAGGGGCGAGGTCCAGGAGGTCCTTTTGTTAGTTCCGGCGAAGGAGCGGCTACGTCGAAATTCGGTAATTGCTTTCTGGATTGGCTGGAGCGCGATGGGAGTTTAATCTGTCCGTCTCACGCGGCCCGAAATTATTGAAATTCGACCGAATTTATTCTGGAAAAAACGCCACACGCTTATAAGCGAGAATTACAGGAGGCGAGAAAATATAATTTATTCCCCCGCAATCTTCCAGTCTGACAAGTTGAAAAACATCCCTGCGGGGGCAGATTTACGAATGGAGGAGTGAATGAAACCATTTCGCATCGTGTTTCATTACCCTCAATCTGTCATATCCCCGTGAATTCGTAAAATTGAAAAGTGTACGATTTTACTGGAACGAATATCCGCATAAAAGTCTCGCGAATGAAATTCGCACTATTCTATTCCTTTTCAGGCTATCTAACACTTATTAAGATATTCACAAACATAGAAAGTTCATATTTTTTTGGATTACAAAATGCAACTTTGTTACTTCTTTATATTCGTAACATTAAAAAACCAGTATGGCCATACTATTATATTAAAACGCGAAGTCAAGTGCAGAAAATTAAATAAAGGCAGTAAGAACGGTGGAATAAAGTGCAATTTTTCTTCTACAGCAGTTTTTCATTACTTTCAATCTTTCGTGTATCATTTTACTCGAATGATTATGCTAATAAATGTTTCGTGAATGGGGTTCGCGTAAATATCACTTTCTTTCCAAACTAGACAACTTCTACTATTGTAAAATATTTGAAAAATACACGAAATTTCTACTATTTTCGATGAAAGTATTCAACTGTCCTACTTGTGTGTAGACGGAACGTTAGAGAAGAATTGTGAAGGAAATGAGATAAAAGTAGTAAGAACGGTCGAATGAAGGGTAATATTTCTTCCGTAAATGGAGGACTTAGAATTTAGATGCTCGGTGCTTCGTTCCAGCAAACTTTTTCGCTGTGGAAAAAAAAAGAAGTAGGTTCAATCTCCCGCAATACCTGCATCCCTACCAATAGAAACATTCCGCTCGCGGTTGTACCAAATTGCCCGTTCAAATTAGGAACTTATCATGATCAAGCCGCAGCAGCAGTACCAAATGAAACTGGCAGCGCTAAGAGCGCGTCTCTTCCTTTTGCTCCTGGCGTGTCTACGTGGTCGAAATTCGGTAATTGCTTTCAGGATTGGCTCCGGTAAGCAGGGAGTCTAAATCTGCCAGTTCTTGCCGTATGTTCACGGCTCATGGCTTCGGAATACCGTGGCAGGTTTCGTGCTCCTTCTTTTCTCGCAGATGTGAACAACTTTTTTTTCCTTTTCGAGATGCAGTCATTAGAAGTTATAATAGCGCTTATTATTGACCAATTTTTAAACGGGACATTAGGCCCATTTGACTTTCTTTACTGTAGAAAGTTTGCAAATACACGGAGAATGATAGCGATGCGATCGAAGATCAATAACCATGTGTTGACGAAATTAATTTTTAGTGTCCAGAATAACATTTTTTATCTGTATTGACCAGTTGAACAAATGGAACTTAAATTTTCAATATTCGAGGTTTTAGTTCCTTTTTTCAACAGAGGGTCGTGACTTTAAGGGCACACCAAAAAAAGAATTTTCGTTTGGTTAACAATGGTAAAACTGCTTTTTGACTTTAAAATTACACTAGATTCTGGAGGGTTAAAAGTGTTATCTTTTGAGGAACCTTATAACTGGTTAAAGAGTCTATCATGGTATGCAACTTCTACAACTTTTTTGACAGATTATTATAATCTTAATACAAGTGTGGAGATTCTCTTAACACAAAGAAAACTACACTGAATCTCAAGTTTCCCAATTCCTTTCGTATATTCGCGGTGTGCAACTTCGGAATATCATAGCAGGGCTGGGTTTCTTCCTCCTTTCTGTCCCTCAACCACCTCGAGCCTCCATTTCCTGTTTTTGTTTCTCGTCTTCGTCTCGTCTAGATGCTCTGCCCGTGGTCTCCCTGGCGAGCATAATTACAGACTGCGGGTCTCGAGCGAATGGATGGTCAACGGTGAACCGTGCACCGAGACCTCTAACCTATCATCGCGAACGTCTGGTTCAACTCGTGCATCGGGAAGAGGAACCGAGGATCTCGTAGCGCGAGACCGGCAACGCCATCTGTATAAATGAACCGCGGAGGATCCATTATCGTGACTCCACCGATGGAAAAACATCGTGTTTGCTATGCATTTATGCGCGTTGTTTCGTTTCGCGGAAATTATGCCAGAGAGGTTGGCCTTACATGGGCAAGATGGCGACTGGGTAGAAACGCTGGACGTTTATTAGTGTTCCTGTTCCTCCTTTGACGACACTTTGATTCCTGGTTCTCAGGCATTGATAAGATCAAAACTTTAGCTTTTTTCTTTAGGCAACATCATGGGCGTAGCTAGATTATGAGTCGGGGTGGGGGGGTAAAAATATTAACACATCGAGTGCCACAGTGAAAAAGGCTGTACGTAGCCAGACACACTCTATTTTGCTTTTAAAGTCATAAATCGTTGAAACTGTATGCGTTTTGTTGATAGGGGCTGTTGGTCGTGTTTCAGATTATACAGCAATATTACATATCACGCAAAAATTTTGTAACACTGGAAAAGGAGGGGGGGGGGGCAAAAGCTAATTTTTTCTTGTAGGGTGGGGTAGAAACCACTTTTTTCCGTTCAGCACTTGCCCCCCCCCCTGGCTACGCCCATGGTCAAAATGGAGTTCCATATATTTCTGTTTCATCAATGTGACAAGTAATATACACTTCCAGTCAGCCAAACTTGTGAAGCCAAATTTTGTCCAATGCCTGTCATAAAGTTATGGCTACAAACCTTGTTCCGGTTTTGCACCTAAGTCAAATGCGGAATGGCTATGCTTTTTTTAGACAACTTTATTGCTAGCAATTTCCTCGAAACTTGTACACACCTGGTTATCAGAGCTCCTGTAGTCTAAACAATATCCCATTATTTTTCCTATTCATCGCCCATTGCGATCGTTCACTATCAAAGATGTGAACAATTCCGTGGTGGCACATTTTTCCCGCAACACTTAATCCGTCATGCTCAAAAATGAATATGAATCGGCCGCAACGATCCCGACCATCACCAGTCCGGCCACGACAGCGAGTCGTCCAGTCGGTAATGAGTGCCGTGTCTGCATGGACGCGTAGAAAAGAACGAGGAACAGAAAAAAAAAAAAAAAGAACAAACGAATAGAGGCAAAAGGCATATCGAGATTGAATCGCGATCGAGAGGCAACACGCGGCTTCCGAGTCGAGGATACTCGGTCGATAATTCTGCCAGTCGACGAATCAAAAAGCCGGGTCTCGGGGTAAAAAACGTCCGTTTCTCCTACCGCCCCGCGACGGAACTGACAGCGAACGACTCGTAGAGGCAGACGAAAAGGCGAAACAAAAGGGAGATGAAACGAGAGGCGGGAAATGGAGATGGGCCATCTATCATCCGGCGAAGTGGCCGGACGAGACTCGAAAGTTCCTCGAGTCTGGCCGCCTTCCACTCTGCCCTCGGACACGTAACCTACAGTTTCTGATGATAAGGCCGGGATCAGCCAGCTTACAAAAGGACGTATTATGTTGCGAGCTTCGGCAAGGTTCTCACGGGCATCCGGACGCTTGATAATCCTTCATCTGCCGTGGATAAGTCGATGCCCCGGCGGCTGAGGGCAGTGGGAGAAGGCTAGTCGTCTTGGGGTATTGGTTCGGGCTGCGATGGTACCTTGGATCTCTCGTTTTTTTTTTTACCCTTTCATTTCCAGATTATTTAACAATTACGAAGAAAATATTGTCCCTATATCTTTGTCTATACATATTGCATGATATACAGGGACATTAAAAAGAGAGATCAGAACTTCCAGGGTAGATAGTATTTGTCAAACGGGGAAAAAAGGTTCAAATAAATGTGGGTCGAAAAATTAATATTTTTTAAAGTTATAAAGAATTCCTTGTTTCGATTAAAGAGACTCAATTTTCTTCGTTCTGTGAGCTATGGTGCCGTATGGGAACAATAGATTATTTTATCATTTCATTTGTTACAAAAGGTTGTCTACAATTTTTATTAATTTTCTTCATGGTTTCCATACGATACGACAGCTACCGAAGTGAGAAAGCTTTAACTTGAAAATTACTGACAGAATGGTTACCAACACTATTGTTATTAATACCTATTTTTCTGTAATATCTTTATCAAATCGTTTGTTCGTTCAATCAATCGAACTCTTTTTTCACTTTTTCATTTCTGGCCTAAAATTCTCATATTTATCATTATTCTGTAGAAGATAATAGATACATAAATTTGTTTAAATCGAAAAGGCTGTCATAAAAATAAATAGTTAGAATGTAAATCGGTGAATTTAATTATAAAGAAGAAGCCGGACTATAATATTATTCAATTTTGTAACACTTACAGGCGCTTCAAGTTCATCATGTTGCTGAATAGGAGGTCGGGGATGTGACGTAATTGATTATTGTTAAGACGCAGCTTCTCGACTCCGACTAAATCCTGGAAGGCGCCTCTCTCGATGGTGTGAATCTGATTACTCGACAGCCAGCTGCGTAAACGATATAAACATGCAATCAGATATGAAAATATAAACAACAATAAATTACAATATTAAGAATGGCATTTGTCTTCAACAATCATTGTACTATTCAATTAATAAAAACGATATATAATAAATTTTGCGCCATGAAAATAATTATGATTCCACTGAAATCACACGCAACTTATCCATCGGGAATTCTTTCAAACTTCTTAAACTGTTACCAGTTTCAGACAATTAAACATTCGTCCCGACTAAATTTCCATTTCGCGCTGAAACTCGAGTCCCTTTCGTCTCGCTTTCAGAATCAAATATTTCCCACGAACTGGTTAACATTTCATTCCCAAAAGACTCGGCAGTTCCGTTGAATTCGTATTTGCGAACCAGACGGACGAAACCCATCCCCGGAGTTTCGCCCGTAACTCGCTTCGTTACTTAACGAACAGAACGGATCGTCTACTCACAGAATGTGAAGCGTGGCCATGTCCTCGAAGTCCGTCTTGAATATCACCGAGATATTGTTCTCCTGGAGTTCCCTGAAACAAAAAAGCGAGAAGGCAAATTAATCCTCTGGCGGCTCGATATTATCCGCGTCGCGACAAAAAGACATAAACAAAGTGAGAAGACCCGTAATAATTTCTTTCTTTCGAAAAATTTCATAAAAAGGTACTTATCGAGGGGGGGTGGCGTTTTCACGGCACAAAAGGCACAACCCTGTCCGCCACGCTTAACTAATTCCATTTCAACCACCATCCCCCACCCCAACAACGGTGGCAGTTCGTATTTATTTGCCACGAATAAGTATTTCTGTTTCGCAGTCGCGCAAATATTTGTCTCGTCCCCCTCCCCTCGCCCCGACAATGGGACCATCGACACAAAGAGCGACCTCCCGAGAATTTTTATCGCGAGTCCTTTTTCCCTCGTCGTCGAAACGTTGTCGCCGTTTACGCGCCCGGTCAAAGCGTCCCCCGAACAACCCCCGTGACTGCGTAATGAGTCCATCGGCCCGTGAATCGGAATTCGCCGGGCGACGGTTTATCGAACGGTTTGTCGCGCTATATTCCCTGTATTTCATTCGAAGGCGACTCGTGTACACTGGACGGTTCGAACGAGACACGTTGATGTCTGGGAATGTTTTTCACTTTTTATAACGAGAAATTCTTTATTTCTGCTGGACTGATAATAATATTTGCGACACGTACAGTTGTTTTCGATGAAATTTCATACGGAATACTACTGGAAAATTTTATCGAATAATTCTTTGGATACTTTCTGGAGGGTTGTTTCATCCCTTAGTGAGATGGAAGTTTAATTACGTGACTGGTGAAGTGTGGTATGTCGTACTTTAATTGCCTTCTAATTAAACAGTAAAAAAAACAGTTTGCCGACCGTATTAATCAGGTCACAACATTTTACAGTAAATTTCGATGAGGGTTCGAAGGCTCCTCGGCACTGACAAAGAAAGGTCTCCAGGTGTAACGCTGGCTTTTTAATTACGATATCAGCTGCATATGACTATTAGATTATGAAATATTTAATATTCAGACCAGAGGAGCTTCCGAACATTCATCCAGAATTTACTGTATATATTTTCTAAATGATCTTAAATGTGAACAATCATACTGAATTACCAGTATCTTTAATAAGTGAATGCATTGAAGCATTCACACTCCCTGAATCCACTGATTATACATCAAACGCTTGTCTAGGTTTCATAAAACTGATTATTCGTAGATCAACGCAAAAGAAAATGAATTCCATTCCATCGATAAGACATTTCGAGCCATTGTCAGTAGGCACGTTCTCAGTGAAATATCAGAGAGTATTATAACCATCGAACGAAGTCTGCGCCGACCATCAACCGAATATCATTGTTCCAATAGCGGGCTGGGGTAACCAGGAAGCGTGAATTTGCTCTTCCCGTGGAAAAAGATGACGGCGACGGGGTAGCCGTCAAACACAGCCGTCTGCTGCCCCACTTCCCTCCTCGTCCAGGCAAGTTATTAAGGCCTTATTAAATTGGTTCCTTTTTCCCGAGGAACTTTTTTTCACCTGACAAAAAACGCCAGACGTAGGAACGAGTAACGAGGCAGAGGCCTACTCGCCAAACTCCTCTTCGTACGAATTCTTTCTCTGCCTTCTTTCTCCATTCTCCTTCTTTTTTTTTTGCTCCTCCCCTTTCTCTCCATATTTTTTTTCTTCTTCTGATTCTCGCGTTCCTCATGGACCGACGACGACTGCGGAACGTAAATTATTTCCTCGTTTTCGGCGCCTGACGTACACACACTCGGGGCCCAACGACGAAACGAGAGACGGAAAGAACTGTGTTTTTTTACGCGGCTCTTTTAAGCCTTGCGTGAGATTTTAATTTCACCGTGGCGGCCGTGTTCTGGATCGTTCCTATTCCTACCCACCCTTATTTTTCCCGTCGTTGGATATTGTTCGTTGCGTTTTCCCGCCTGTGCTGGAATAATTGCGCGACGAGAACCGGCGAAAGGCAAAGCCGTACTCGGGAAGTGGAAGAAAAACGTTGTTTGAGACAATTTTTGCTGTTGGTCAACGAGGCATTGCGCCATGCTTCGTGATTTTATATGCACATGTTATTATTTGACCGTCGGCTTGGAATGAAACTTTGAAACTGGATAACAATACTTGTGCACTGCAGATAAAGTTGTATGATTACGGAATAAAAGCACATAAGTGCAATATATGTAAGTCGATTTAATTATGTGATATGTTAATTGGTTAGATTTTATGACAGCATTTCTAGTGAACTAGTATCGGTTAATTATATATGGGGAGTAACAGAAGTATTCGAACACGAGATGTACAGGGTGGTTCACCTAACATGACCACATCAATTACTCGGAAATTACTGGCTATATGAAAAAATGTTTTAAGCAAAAGTTGCATGGTACTTATCAGGAAGGGCACGTAATGCAATAATATGTTTTTTACTATGTTATATTTTTATCAAGATATAACAGTCACCTTCAGTTCTTTAAAATGGAATACTCAATATCTTATCCTGAATTTTGATAAGGTATCAAATACTGCATAAAAAAGTATTTATCATATAGGGTCTAAAGTGAACAGTTCTTGAGATGTCAGTAAATATTTTTAACATGTTGGTGAGATTTTTCCGATTGCAATGAAGCCAAACATGACATAATTTATACCACATTTCTTTATTAACATTAATTAACGTTGTCTCAGGAAATTTTCAATTGCACATATATTCATTTGGGAGTATTCGGGACAATTTTACCAAGTTTTCTGTAAATCGGAGGGTGGACCCTTTCGGAACTGCATCCGACTAAATTTCTCTAACACCGTTCACTAAAGCAAATGACAAAAAAAATCGAGAGCGGAGTATATTCCAGGAGCTCTTGACCAAATTGAAAGATCGAATCACGGATACTCGGTTCGAGTGACCGAACTCGGTGTTCGAATCTGGCAAAAAAAAAAAAATGTGACCCGGAGGACCGGGTGTTTAAAATGCAGCCTCGGAGCATCTCGATGGGGGCTCTCTCGCTCTGATAGCCAATCCTCTTGATAATCGTTAAATGGAAAAACGTGTTTTCACGATAGGTAAACACGAGCGCGTCATAAAAAAAAAAAGAAAAAAATAGAAAAGTCGGTGAAAACCGGCACACGGTCACGCGACATCGATCAACACATGTTCCTCCCTGGCAACCTGCGTGACTTTTCGCTCGTCCCTCCGTATGAAGAGGATCGCGTACGCGACAACACGGTGGGATGAAAATCGACGTGGAAAAGGGCAACGCAAACTTCCACCGTTCTCGTTTTCCCGGGACGCTTTCCGACCTCGAAAAATCGTCGTTTCTCGCGCGAATTTTTTGCTTTTTATTGCTTTCGACTCAGTAATTATTGCTTAATCGAGACACAAACGAAAAATAGTGTCCATTAGGGGTTGTAAAATTAATTTCGAGTCCTTTCCGAATGATTTTACGCGGTGAATAAATAGCTGCAACCGCGCGACCTTCGATTTACGTTTCGTATTCATGGAAATGTACGCTCGTATTAATCGGAAGGAATATCGCGTTTAATTTAGTCAACTGAAACGGAACGCGCGATGGGAATAAATAAATTAGTTGCTCACGTCATTGCGACGAGGATATTTTTAGGGATTGTAGAATCAATAATTAATATTCGGGGCTAATGTGATAGAATAAATTTGATTCTCTTCATTTGAAAGATTGATGTTTGGGTTCATTCAATTGCACAGACTGCATACTTGATTGTTCAGTAGGCAGAGGTTAAATGGAACCACGTCATTATATGACAAAATTTTCGGATGAATATGTTAATGCTTCTCAAATACTAGGTTGAAGTAATTAACCGTTCGCTGTTGTTTTGCAGAATTATTCTATAGTTCATTCGCGAGAAGAAGTAATGACTCTGGAGTTTAATCTAGGTGTTATACTTGACGTCGACTGGTAACTAATTGAATATTAAATGGAACTTAACGATAGATCATTTCTATTCTGTAGAAGAATAACAAGAAATGGTTTTTAAATGTTACATTTTAAGTTTTTTGACTGTAACTATATTGTTCTTCTCTTCTATAGAAAATGCTTCGAATGTAACATAAAACATTTAAAAACTGTTTCATGTTATTTTTTTGACAGAATAGAAATTTTGTTGGCAACTTCTGGAAACTTTCATTATCTCATCATACACAAGGTTTAGAAAAATTCTTTATCCATTCGTAAATATTGTATGCGTCGAACCAGTGAGTGTATCTTCTTCGTCTATGTCAATGAATTCATCGAAAGTGTCAGCAGAGTCATACAGAGATCGAGGAACGATCGATCGCGTTACTGAATCGAAGGCAGCCGAGCCTGGTCACATAATCCACTTTATTGTCGATTCGATTAACGTCGAACAAGATGAAACGAGCGTGGTTGGCAGCGGCTAACGAAGCCAATACGAAGAATACGACGACACCACGTTATCTTCCCTCCACCTTCTCTTCGACGCCATTCAGGTGCTTCGAAGAAGGCAGCGATTATCGTTTCGTGTCCCTTGTACATCAGAGGAACGATCGTACATCGTGGCAATAACTGACAACGATACTGAGGTATCTTCTGAAGAACTGTTCTGGGTTAAAAGAAATTCACTGAACTCTTTTTATATTTTCTACCTTCAATTCTTAATTTTATGAAGCAGTCTCTGGATGAAATTTCATTCAAGATGACCTATTTTCTTTTCATCACACGAGGTTACTCGAGTCTGTTCATCCTTTTATCGAGTAACGTCTAATAACGCCGTGTTTCACATATTTCTCTTTCATATACTCAGAAAAGTTTTTTAATTCTGTTATGGAAGTGGTAATACAGACCCGTTCAAGCTTCGCGTATTTTAGTCCCGTATTCCCCCTCCTTTTTCACGCTCTTTAATGTCATTGAAAGTTTCAGCTCAGTCTCCCGTTACTTTTCTAATAAAGCGGAATCGCTGCTTTGAGAATGATAAAAAGGAATTTTTTGAGTCTATGTACCTGCGCATAGACATCTCATATTACTACTTATACACTAAGAAGAAAAAGAAGAATCGTATGAAATTTTTACATAAAAATTTTAGTTTAATACTATGACAGTATCAGAGTAAAGGCTAATTCAATTTCTCCGACAGGGTTTTTATACCCAGCCGGGTTAACTAACTTCAACACTGAAGACCGAACTTTTTAACAAGCTTCAACTTTTTCGTAGTACTTATAACTGGACCCTTAAAAAATCTGTTTGGGTCTTATTAGGCGTTAACTGACACCTTGTAATAGCTTCAATAGTTAATGGAATGGCAAAATTCTTTGACCATTTTAAAACTGGTAACAAGGAATGATTAATATTTACATACAATTATGAATAATTCATCCTCCAAGTAGGAATATGTGTTCCTAAAGAATCATATGTACCTACTTAGGAATAAAAATCATTCTTTATTTTACCCTAGTTCGTCATATAGAATTCACCCCGTGAAACAGTCCCATATTTTGATTAACACCCTGTACAGTAGCTGATATGACATGTAAAAAAGAAGGAAAACAAAAAGGGGGAAAGTGAAGAAAAAGTGAGAATGATTTCCTAGTGTAATCAGTAACAGTATCTATCCATACGCTGCATCAAAGGCTTGCCAATAACTACGAGGAAGACGTAGCCAATGTCCATCACCATCACTCAACTTCCACGTACCAAAGGACGCGATGGCTGCGTCCCATAAATCCACCGAGCGCTAATAACCCAGTCACGTCCGTCCCCCACGGCCAGGAATAGCCCCGATAGTCCCAGTTAAATTTATCAATCCCTAAAAACTGATACACGGACCGATTCCCCGTAAAGTGAACGGCCTGACCAGGCCGATCCGTGGTCGCGCCGTCGTTACGCCGCCATTCATAGTCGTCGATGGCATCGTCCACGATGAAATATAGGAGTCCACGAGTTCCCGGCCATCAGCCCGGAGAGTAGGAACGGGACACACCATTTCGTTCCACCGACAGATTTGTGCTTCCAGGAACGGGTAATGCGGCTTTCCGCGGTGGTCCCTGGCTGCTGTGTTCAATTAAACCGGCTCGCCATCTTCTCGCCGAAGCGATAATCGCTATCGGCCGGTGTTATCGTCCTCACCGCGGAATTCCTTTGGTTATTAAATCGGAACAGGAACCCGAAATGACTTTCTGTGCTAGCTACCAGCGATTTCGTCCCGACAGACGGGGGATCCACTTTTCTTTTATTGACGTCGCGAGATGAGTAATTAATTTTCTGGTTCAGGCTATGTCTGAGAAAAAAAAAAATCTAATACTTCTATGCAGGTCCCCTAGAAACCTACACTTTTTAAAACAGCAACGGATTATTTGGGTTACCGAAATTCCCTAGCAAGCAAAATATAGGTAATCGATACCGCGATGTAAAAAGCATCCAAGAAAATCCACAGTGTACAGAGTAACATGAACAAGAGTTATCAGGTCCCCAGTAAACCACGAGAATTTTCCATTCGGCAAAAAAAAAAACATTTCGTGCTATCCAATTTTTTCCCTCCATAAAATTCACACAATTTGTAACACCTTTTCCGTCATTTATGTTGTTTGCGGCACAACGCCGCGTCGGTTCCCGATACCATCGAGCGTCGTTCATGAACACGCTCAGCACTTTGTTTACTACAATAAAACAAAAAGCAAAAAAAATACTCGACCGGGCCCGAGCAGTGGGGAAACGGATAATTCATGCGTGAAAAATGTCCGTGGCGCGCGGAAGGGTGCAAAAAAACAATCGATCGATTCAATTTATCAAAAGTGCCCGGGGGGGGGTTTTCGGTCTGTGCCCGTATAAATTTGTCTCCATTTGCGACGGAACGCGAGACGCGTCTATATACGCGACCCGCTGGAAAATGGACGGCGCGCCTAGCATTCTTTACCTTTCCTCCAGCCCTTCCTACGTCCCTCACGTCGCGATTATTCGTGAGTAGCAAGCGGAGTGGAAAGCCGTCGATACGTCAAATCGGCTCGGGGCCACCCTTTTTCTTTCCCTCCATCCGACCCCCGAAGACACGCGGACTGTCGACTGCATCCTGCCGGTAAACTCAATCAAGAGATTCCATTTGCATTTCGTAGCGGAGATGGCGCGCGCGTACACCCTGTTTCGCGAGTTACGCGGCAAATGGAACACCCCATCGCGTCGTCTGGGAGCGAAAACTTTTACTACTTTTCACCTTACCGTATATCTTTATCTCAAACTCGCGGGAATTTCGCCTGGGAAGTCTGGGACGCATTCCTCCGTGTGGATTAGCTCACGGCAAATTGGACCACTTGTGAGCATTGATCCGAGGAAAGTGGAGACTTTGAGAGGTTGGCTTAATTTATTTCGGGGCTCGTTCAACCCCCGTAAGAAGTGGTGGAAAACGTGTGGCAATCGCATGATCGTGGATGTTTATACAAACTTTCACTTTTATCGTTTACTTTGAGGTAGTGGACGTTGAAGTGAAATTAGTTTCTCTGTATTAAAAGATTAAGAGATGGAATAGTGGTTTTGCTTGGCTAAACAAATATACGCATAAGTATCACAAATATTCGTAACTAGAATTAAAACTTTTCATATAATCTCGACCTAGCCTATGGACTGTTCAAACATTAAACGTTTAATCCAAATTTAATGCTCAAGATAAGAGATAATCAGGAAAGCCTCATGACTATTCATGTGTACTCCAATTACTCCCCACGCGGTCCGTAATATTAATCCACATTTAAAGGTTCAAGATACGTCATCATCAGAAAGGTTTCATAATTATTCATACAGTATACAATTACCCTACATGCACTCCGTGGCCCGACAACCCAAAATCTCTCGTCAGAGATCTCCAATTTCGAAACCACTCTCAAAACAATCCAGTGTTCCGCAACCCCTCAATAGGGATCTCTATCAAAGCTTATGTTATATTTATGTAGATACCGTATACACAATTATTTTGGACTACATCAAGCTAACTTCAATTATTGGAACAACGAAACTTTGTGATAGGTGAAATTCCTTCGTTCACCTGCACAATATATCCGGTCGTATTATCCATAGCTTCGGAGGAAATAGGTGGATGGCGGGTGTTCGCATATCGACGTAGGAAAAACGAGCAGATCGAATTGGGTTGGTCATTGCCGGAAGAGCAGTCTCAGGAGTGGTTGTCTGCAAACTTTGATTACATCTGCCAGCGGTCTATCTAAGCGACGCCAGCACAAATATAGATGCGTACCAACACCTTATTCCTGGACATCCCCAGCGTCGTCCCTCTTCATCTTCGTTCTCCCTCTACAGAGTTCCTCCTTCTCCGGACCAGTACAAGTTGGATCCACCGTGCTCAGTTCCGGCCGTGGAAACCCATAGAAACGTATTTAAGCGGATGTCCCGACGACGCGAAAAGTAATTCCGTTAGCAGCAACGTGAGCCGCCTGTCAAGAGCTGGCACGACGGTGAAAATGTGCCTCTGGGCACGCGATTGGATTTCCGATGGATGTTGTAACGGACGAATGGAATGCTGGGGAAAAAGTATACCGGGCCGAATCGCGGGTTCCTTGGGGATGAACGACTTGGGGGCGATCTTCCCGCCCTTATTTAATCGCTACTGACAATTTGAATCTCTTCTTTCTTTCTTCGGTCTGTCTAGGGACTTCTCTGATGACCCAAGTATTCTTTTAACGAGTTCGGAATATAGCCTACATAGTAGGATCTCTGTCGAGTGTTTCGGTATTATCTTGAATATTATATCCTCGATAAATAATCACAGAACTCCACAAACCGTGGTAGTCTTCACAAAGACGACAGAAAGCTTCCTCGAAGCCAAGTTTCAATAAACCAGCGTGTGAAAATAACTTTGTACAGGCCAATCAACCATGATCCGACTAAATATACATCGCAACGATCGAGCAACTCTAGAATCTTAACACTTGATCGCTCAATTACTTGCGTCCGTATCCAGCCAATAAATGGAACCGGGATAAAAGCCAGTAAATCAGTGTCGAACAATTTATTCTCCAATTATATAAGCCTGCAAGTATTCAGATTGCTAAGCGGCCTTTAGAGCGACTATTTACTTCTGACAGTAAACGATCGTCCAACGAGTCATTAAAATCGTTCCCAGCGAGACCTATTACTCCACGGAAGACCCGCTCCAATGATTCCTTCCGCTCGGGCCATAAGGCGGCTGGCTAGCGACGGCAAGATTCATTGGAGCGATGTGTATACCAGACGGCGAAACAGTCTTTCCCGGCGACAAAGCTACAAAGATCCCTCCGGTTCGCGATCCGAGATTCAGCCGAATCGCATGAGGCCTGACTTGGTAGTCACGGCTCGAAATTGATCTTTCCTCCTCACCGTATCATAACATTCGGATTTTATTGCACGGCCGGGCGGCGGCTCGTAGAGTGTTCGCAATACCTTTCACCTGTCAGCCTCGGCGACGAAGACGCAGCTGCAACAAGGATACCGTGACTCCTGGAATGCTCGAGCAATGCGCAGCACACCATTGCGAAACTAGCGTCTGAATTTATCGAGCTGGCGCGCCTCCAGATGGAGAGTTTCTTTTTCGCCCGTAACCGTCCGGCTGTTCTTCATTCCCTCCGCGGCAGTCGCCGTCGACCCAGTAAAATCAAATATTAACGATCCACAGGACGGCCGGGGATTCGGGGGACACCGCTGTTTCACCGTGTAACACGACAACACGCGCGAGGACACGGCCGCACATGATGTATTATCCTTGCGTCATGCCGCAAAAATAGCCGGTGGCGATAGAGAGCACGGGGACGTGTGACATCCGGAACCGGTGAAAAACTCTCCGGAGAAAAATGGTCCCGTGGACACATCGCTGACATGTGCCACCCGGCATTTTCGGTTAATTAACCATTGCGTTCTTATGGCCGGGTCACCAGCGATCCACCTGTAACGACGATCACCCAACCGTTTATACATCGACGAAACTAATAGTAGGAGATGTTACTATGGATCACGATTGACTCAGCCATAGGGCTTGACGGTATGGGCTAGGCCTGTGGTTATGCCTGGGTTGCGCTCCACAGTTAGGTTGAACATGGGTCGAAGCCTAATAATTCCAGGGACCTATAAGCAGATGAGGATCGTGCATCCAAGCAGTCCAGGACTAATAAAATTGGATTGGTCCGAAACGCATGGGAAACCTGACCCTCGGGTAACGTACACCCGATGAGATTTGCATCCTAACATTTCCGAGGATAGACTTGGGAGCTAAGATAACCCGGTTGGCACCTTAAAGAAGATTCCGATAGTCTTCTCTGCCGAGCAAGCCGAGACATTCTAACTCTAACTAGTTCTGGGTTAGCGAGATGTTATAATAGGTTACGATTGACCCAGCCACCAGCTTTGACGATCTGGGTTAAACATTGAATTAGATCCGGGTTAGCTCCGAGGGTTAAATGAAACATGTTCCTTGATCTCACTGGACAATGAGGGCCACGATCAGCCTGGACGAGGATAACGTGAACTTTGAGCAGCAATTAGCCCAGAAACGACGTGGAAAAATCGTGAGCATGATAGCAAAGGGGATTGCTTGTGTAGGAACGGGCGCGAGAAAGGGGTCGCGTAAAAATTGTGATCGCGACACAAGCAATTTTCTGATAGACCCCCGGCTCGGCGGAACGAGGTCGGCTGTTTATCTGATATCTAAAGGGTGCCTTCCAGTCGTATTTTCATCATTTCCGCGGTATTCGACAGAGCCCGTGCGTCGCTCGTTAAACCAGCGACCGTGCATTTGTCTTTGCTCGAGCGGTTGCGCGTTTGGCTAACGAATCGCCTGTCGCTGGAACAATGCTGTTCGCTGCTTCGGATATACGCTCAGCGGAACAATTCCCCGTGTCAATCCTGCCGGCAGACGTTAACGGGCAAACGCTTTGCGGATCCGAAAGCGTAAAATGCGACCGGGACACGAATCGATCATCGGCGGCGGACCGGTTTCGTGCGGTCGTTGCTTCCATGATTTGCTTTTGATTCGGGATGAGCACACGGTGTTCTGGTACTTACACTTTCCAGGAAGTACAGAATGCTTCAGATTTTACCGTCTACGTGTTCTTGACCCATGTATGCGGAATGATTAAATTCCTTAATTTGTTTATTTGCAAATATTTTCTTCTATTCTTTCAAATTTTAACGGATAGGCAACCGGTTGGATTTCATTCAATTTTGCTGCACTTATTTTTTTAATGAAGTGTCACGTCGAACTGAACATGTCTTCTGTAACAATGCCCAAGAATATTTGAATAGAAAAATACTGTGCTCCAGGAAATAATAAATAAATAATGCACGCGCTTAAAAGCGAGATTTCTCGTTTGCAGTCTATGAAAATTAGATTTCTCGTAGCCTATTGACAATGAGTTAAGGTGTGGAATTAATCTTCGCGTGGCGGTGGCTGGGTCAACAGGGACCAATTTTTATACAAATCCAAATTTCATATTACGTTTTACAAATTCTTGTAAATAAATCATCGCTTGTGTGGCTGACGAGTGACCTAGCCATCTGCTTTCACGGTTCATCATGCAACAATTAATGTTCTTACCGATCTACTACGAATTTCGTCCCAGGCTATGATCAACTATTCTCAAAGTCCCCTATATCCAAAACAAAGCCTCAGCTTTTCAAATGTCATCCTATCCTTTCGATCTATCTTTCCACGAACGATCACCCCCAGGAACACCGCAAAAAATGCAACATTTACCACCAAAGATAACAGAAAAAACGAACTTCCACTGTAGATTTACGAAAGTGACCAACAGTGAACCCCAGACCACTTCCGGTTCACTGGTTCCCGCGAAACGTATGGGTACACTCATCGATCGAGCTCGCGGAAAAATTCTGCTCGTGCGGCTCGTAAATCTCCGTCGAGGGAAAAAAGGTCGCGGAGGTGAGATCGATGTTTAACGCGATTCGAAAGGTACAATCAGCCGACAATGATCGGCGTGTCCCGGGCTGTGTTCTCAGGCGTCGCTTCGTCGATGTTATCGGGCAGTCGGCCATATATTTTTTTCCCTGGTTAATCAACGCGTCGAGTTTCTATGAACGTGTGGTGTCGGTGGCGCGCCTCGTGCCGGGGTCACGATTCGATAAATGTTAGCCGGCCGATTTGCATAGGGCCCGCGTGGAAGGCGCAAATGCCGTCGCTCGAACGCCCACGCGTAGAATCCGAGTGTTCCCTCGGCGAAATGGCGTGTCGTAATAAAGTGAGCCTCGTATAAATTACCTATCGACGCGAATGTTTATGAATCTGTTAGCCGCGCAACGCTGGGTGGACAGAGAGAGGTATCCATTGGATATAAGATGTTTCCTTTTCGAAAGGAATGCGCGACGAGGACGACCGGTCCTTAGCTCGAAGATATGGTTTCGTTGGGGATGTTGTTGTGAGATACTGATCGTGAGCTTAACCCTTTAACTTACAGACCTGATCTCATGCAGATATGTGAGAAATGGAAGAACTATAGGAAATCTGAAAGAAATAATTAAATCTTAGTCTTGAGGGATGAGGTGGTGAGGTTGTTCAAAAAAGAGAATTTGTCGAGGTGAATAGAATTTCTTGAATCTTGTGAAACGAAAGGTATCAAAGTTATAAGTTAAGTAAACGTATTCTGGGTTGAGAATCATTCTACTAAATGTTCAAAATATTGTCGGACCTTTCAAAGAGTTCGGACTTCTAAACATTTTCTGATTCTTTTACGAATGTTGTTTCGAACATCATCGTGACTAAAGTTGGCCGACAGAGTACGAAAATAAAGAAGTCAATGTTTTTAATTAAAAGTACGTCGTTCGCTTACTGATTCATATCGAAGGTTCAAAGAAAATTGGAGTAGAAGTTTCTAGCGTACATTGTGAGAAAATAGTCGAGTTTCAATGTATCAGAAAATCATACAGAAGAAGAAGGAAGTAAGGAAGCGTGGCTAGAAACCGTAATGGAGCTATTAACTCGTGAACTTATGAAGTGGGCAAAGTTCCTGCGACTCGGCGAGTATATCTATCGATAATGCTGAATCGAGTACAAGCTTACGGCGCGCCACGAACCGTTCTATAATTCTTATTGGTGTTCGACGTAACAACTTTCACGTACAAATATCTCAATGATACGGCGATAATTCGATACTAAAGGAGTACAAGTTATAGCTTATCCTATCATGGATCTCTAAGTATCTGAATATTTAAGTTTCTCAGTAATAATAGCTTCATTATACGAGATGTTAACAAAAATATGCGACACTCTTACAGGATAGATTCAATGTATCAAATTAACAATAAGACGAAAATGAAGAATGACGGAATTGAGTTTGAGGTTTCGTTTCCAAGTTATTAATTGTTCAAGATCAGATGGGTGTTGTTTGTAAATCTGATCTAGAGGGTCCGGCCGAATAATGTGTAAAAAACAGGCACCACGTGAGTCTTTAGAAAAAGCTGAAACAAAAAATATACTAATTTCTAAGTTTAAGTAGCAGTAAAAAAATAGAAAAGTGAAACAAAAAGAAGTAGGAAGTAAGTCCTACCCAATTGCACACGTATCCAGCAAATATTCAAAATCAATTTTTTTCTAAAACTTTAATCTATATTGAAATAAAACTCCCAAAAATATTGTTTATACTCTCAATAAGTGTATAAATAAATAGAAAACATTTCATTTATATTACACACATCGTTCACTGAAAAAGTAAATCCCAAAAAATGATTTTTTCAGGACTTAACAGTAGCAAGACCCTTTTAACACAGTTGTTATTGTTACCATAAAGTGCTCGAAAATTTGCGAACCAGCAAGATCGAGCAATTTACCCGGCGAGGAACCCATGCATCCTCTTTACCGCCAAAACTTTTCACGGTTGTCACGGCTGCTATGATTTGCGGGCGGGTGTCCGCGTCGCGGTTGATAAATCACTGGCGACGGTTCGGGGCGCGCGTGACGCGTGATGAACACGCGGCGAACGGGCGAGCAAAGCGCGCAACCGGCAAGCGGGTAAGTTGAAAGGGTGCGTGCTGTACACCGGCACACTGTGTGCTTTCATGCTCGGAAATCAGGCGTCTAAATCTAAACGGCGCCGCGACACGACGCCTCTTGCCGCGCGTCGACTAATTACCGTTAACGCGACCCGCTTAATTAACGGCAACTTTAATGTCCCGGCCGCAAAACCAACCTCCCCTCGTGGCGCCCGTCTTGCAGCCAGACGTATCGCTTTCTGATTTCCGCCAACGGCGATACAGCGGTTTAAAACGATCCATGCGGTTGCGCTTTGATCCGAGACGGGAACTTTATTTTCGGTCAGCAGAGGTTAATTTGGTGACATGGACCGACACTCTGAGTTCTCTCGTCGTTAATCCTTGAGTATGGATGTCTCGTCTAGGAGATGAACAATCTGACAACGACCACTTCCTTGTCAAACTTTTAATAACAAAGTGAATATTTGTTATCGTTTCGGAAATAGGGTGCCATTCATGAATAATTCAAGGTACTTAAACGTCTGGAGTTTTTGAA